TTTCTAGAAAGGCAGGACCTACCCAAATGCAATTGATAGAGCTCAGATTTTTCCCCCTTCAGATTCTGACAGATTTTCAAAATACATTTAAATGCTTGAAAAAGAATGTTAAGCTCTATGTACTACTACATGAGGCAAATTCATAAGCTATATTAAAATGGTCTGACCTAAGATTATCACATACTTGAAAATTTTCAGCCACTATCTGGCTGAAAATCTGAACACCATAAACTCTGCTGTTTGGAAATGGTAATTCCAGGCCTGGCTCGGTGGATCACACCTGTAATCCCAACACTTTGGGAGGCCAACGCAAGCAGATCACCTGAGATCAGGAGTTCGAGACCAGCCTGGCCAACATGATAAAACCCTGTCTTTACTAAAAATAAAAAATATATAGCCGGGCGGGGTGGCAGGCGCCTATAATCCCAGCTACTCAGGAGACTGAGACAAGAGAATCACTTGGACCTGGAAGGCGGAGGTTGCAGTGAGCCGAGATCGCGCCACTGCACTCCAGCCTGGGTGACAGAGCAAGACTCCATCTCAAAAAAAGAAGAAAAAAAAAAGAAAATAATTCTTAGAAAAACATTTTTGTTCAAAAGAAATTTGAAAGTTTTTATAATCTTTAAAAATATCCCGGCCGGGCTCGGTGGCTCATGCCTGTAATCCCAGAATTTTGGGAGGCCGAGGCAGATGGATCACGAGGTCAAGCGATCGAGACCATCCTGGCCAAAATGATGAAACTCTGTCTCTACTAAAAAATCAAAAACTAGCTGGGTGTGGTGGCGCACGCCTGTAATCCCAGCTACTCGGGAGGCTGAGGCAGGAGAATTGCCTGGACCTGGGAGGCGGAAGTTGCAGTGAGCAGAGATTGCGCCACTGCACTCCAGCCTGGTGACAGAGTGAGACTCCGTCTCAAAAAAAAAAATAAATAAAAATATCCCATTCATGTCGACTTTATGCTCAGTGATATTAAGTGACTGCATTAACAATCCAGTAAAATTCCATCAGGAAAAACCTGCACTTCAAGTACTGACCTGTTTCCCCACCCACATCCTCTCTTTTAATGTTGTGGTTCTCAAATGGTCCCAGTGGATTCCTGGAGGTCCTTTTCAAATGGTCTGTGAAGTCAACATTATTTTCATAACATTTGCCTTTTTCATTGTGTTGATACTTGTGCTGACAGCACAAAAGCAATAATGGGTAAAACTGCTGGTGTCTTAGCGCAAGGGTACCCACCCCCAGGGCTGCAGACTTTACTGACCCGTGGCCTGTTAGGAACCAGATGGACAGCAGGAGGTGAGCAGTGGGCACTCAAATAAGCATTACTGCCTGAGCTCTGCCTCCTGTCAGATCAGCAATGTCATTAGATTCTCATAGTAGCCTCAACCCTACTATGAAAAAAATGGGAGGGAATCTAGGTTGCATGCTCCTTATGAGAATCTAATACCTGATGATCTGAGGTGAAAGTTTCATCCCAAAACCATTCCCCACTACCAGGGGAATGGTTTTGGTTTCCACAAAACCAGTCCCTGGGGCCAAAAAGGTTGGGGACCACTGCTAGCATGAGTAAATGACATTGAACTGTACTATAGTCATTGTCATTGTCTTTTGTCATCACACATAGGTGATTTAAAAAAAAAACAATTGCTTGCATTTAAGAATGTTCTTGATGCAGCAATAAAAATTATTAATTAAATCTAAACGCTTGAGTGTAGGTCTTTTAAATAGTCTGTAACAAAATGGGGCAGTATGAAGAAAGCACTTCTGCAAGGTACTCAAGTACCATGGGCGGTCTCCAGGAAAAGCACTTGTGACTCTGGGCTATGAGTTGAACTAGCTGCTTTTTTCATGGAACCCTACACTTACTTGAAACAAAGAACAAACTAGTTATTTAGACATGAATATTTAGCAGACATTTTCTTGAAAATGGAGTCTGTCACTGGGGAAAACAAGTGACAGTATTTGTTGCCAATGATAAAATCCAGGCTTCCAGCGAAAAACTAGAATTTTGGAAAACTTGTAGCTGCTTGACAGCTTCCCAATACTTACAAAGATTTTGCTGATGAAATGGGTGGTGATAATAATGTGGGTTTTCTGATATTGTATTATAAAATGTTTAAACATTCAGAAGATCTGCTTAACTCAATTCACTAGTATTTCCCAAATGACCACAGCACAATACTCTAAAAATCACATGTGTGTAAAAGATCCATTCAAGTGCAAGTCAGACCAATGGATCTTAATGTAACAGTAACATCAATACAATTTCAGAATCCATACTACAACTTAATTTATAAGAAACTAATACTTGTCAAGTTTTGGTGTAGTATCAGAGAATATGCACAATTGTCTGAAAAGACTATAAAATACTTCTCCCTTTTCCAACTACATATTCTTTCAGGCCATATTTTCTTTAGATACTTCAATCAAAACAAATTATCACATCAAACTGAATAGAAGTAGGTAAGAAAACCTGGAGGCCAGGCACGGTGGCTCACGCCTGTAATCCCAGCACTTTGGGAGGCCAAGGTGGGTGGATCACGAGGTCTCAAAAAAAAAAAAAAAAAAAAAAAAAAAAAAAAAAAATATATATATATATATATATATATATATATATATTTATTTGAGAGGGAATTTTTGCTCTTGTTACCTAGGCTGGAGTGCAATGGCACAATCTCGGCTCACCACAACCTCCGCCTCCTGGGTTCAGGCAATTCTCCTGCCTCAGCCTCCTGAGTAGCTGGGATTACAGGCACACACCAACATGCCCAGCTAATTTTTTTGTATTTTTAGTAGAGATGGGGTTTCGCCTTATTGACCAGGATGGTCTCGATCTCTTGACCTCATGATCCACCCGCCTCGGCCTCTCAAAGTGCTGGGATTACAGGTGTGAGCCACCAGGCCTGGCCAAAATTTTTTTTAAGAGTATACACTCCTGAGACAACAGTGAGAATCACTGTTCTAAGAAAATATGCCTCTGATTCCAGCCATTCCCAAAATTGCTCTGTTTGTACCAAAATCTCCCCTTCCCCTTTCCTCACCCGAAACTGGAGTTGAACCTGGGGCAGATATCTGGCCCAGGGGAAAATCAAACTTTCAACTGACCAAATCAGATCTCCCCCAGGAATCTGAATTAGTCCTCATAGAGACTAAAGCCTATTTATAGCAGAAATCTAGAGACCATAAACTCTGTCGGAAAACCCTGGCACTGTTTCAGTTCCAGCCTTTTCTGATGTCTGCAACAGCTATCTCCTTTTTCCTTTACATAAATCTACCCCCCCGCCGCTTTTGTTTTCAACCTTGCATGTGGCATTAGAAGCTCTTTTGTACCAACTGGTTTGAATAGATTTTCTTTCCTTATGATCACAGAAGCCGTAACACCATAAATCTTCAATGCCTTTACCCAAACTGTTTTATAAAATCACTCTAACAATACTAAAAGTTGAATGGAAATTGTAGGCTCATTCAAAACAAGTGATCAGTTATTAGATAAGGAAGACGCAATTTTTCTTTTATTTTGGCAAAGTTCGTTACATATCATGTGAATATATTTTAGACAACAAATAGTGTCATTAAAATATACCAATTTGGCTGGGTGAGGTGGCTCATGCATGTAATCTGAGCACTTTGGGAAGCCAAGGCGAGTGGATCACCTGAGGTCAGGAGTTCATGACCAGCCTGACCAACACGGTGAAACCCCATCTCTATTAAAAACACAAAAATTAGCCAGGCATGGTGGTGTGTACCTGTAGTCCCAGCTACTCGGGAGGCTGAGGAAGGAGAATTGCTTGAACCCAGGAGGTGGGGTTTGCAGTGAGCAGAGATTACGCCTGGGCGACAGAGCAAGCCTCTGTCTAAAAACAAAAAACACACAAAAAAACAATTTGATAGAAAGCCTGACAAATAGAAAAAGAACAAGGGAGTGAGACTTGCCCCGTCAAATATAAATAATTATTATAAAGCTATCAGAATTAATGCAGTGTAGTACCAGTACAAGATAAGCAAACAGACCAATGGTACAGGATAGAGAAAATACAAATTCTTATATATGGAAACATGTAAGTGATATAAAGTTGTAGGGAACAGATGGACTATTCAATAAATGATGCTGGGTCACAAGATTATCCTTATGGAAAGAAAATTAGATCCACACTTCAGCGTTATCCTTATGAAAACAAAAAATGTGATCTCTACTTCACACCAAACATCAAAATACTAGGTGGATTAGAGACTTAAAGGCGAAAAGCAAAATTTTACAACTTTTAGAAGAAAATATAGGATGTAACCATTACCTCAGTATAGTGTCATGAAGACACACACACATAAAACATATAGGAACAATATAATAAATCTGACTGCATGAAAATCTAAAACTCAAGGCTAGGCACAGTGGCTCACACCTGTAATCACAGTACTTTGAAAGGCCCAGACAGGTGGGTCACTTGCTGTCAGGAGTTCAAGACCAGCCTGGCCAACAATGTAAAACCCCATCTCTACAAAAAATACAAAAATTAGCCAGGTGTAGTGGCGGGTACCTGTAATCCAGCTACTCAAGAGGCTGAGGAAGGAGAATCACTTGAACCTGGCAGGCAGAGGGGGCAGTAAGTCAAGATTGTGCCACTGCACTCTAGCCTAGGCAACAGAGTAAGACTCCGTCTCAAAAAAAAAAAAAAAAAAAAAGAAAATGAAAAAAAAAAAATATATATATATATATATAAAAACTCAGTTTGATAAAAGATAAAATTAAGTTTAAAAACAAAATACGCCCATTAGGATGGCTACTACAAAAAAAATTTTTTTAACAATAAGTGTTGCCTTAAACAGGTATCTAAACCCTTAACAACAACAAAAAAGAGGCTCGCGCCTATAATCCCAGCAGTTTGGGAGGCCAAGGAGGGCGGATCACTTGAAGTCAGGAGTACAAGACCAGCCTGGCCAAAATGGCGAAACCCTGTATCTTACCAAAATACAAAAAATTAGCTGGACATGGTGGCACACACCTGTAATCCCAGCTACTTGGGAGGCTGAGGCAGGAGAATCGCTTGAACTTGGTAGGCGGAGGATGTAGTGAGCCAAGACGGCACCATTGCACTCCAGCCTGGGCGACAGAGTGAGGCTTCCATCTCAAAAAAAAAAAAGAAAAGAAAAGAAAAAGTGTTAGTGAGGCTGTAGAGAGCCTGGCACTTTTGTTAGCTGCTGCTGGCAAGATAAAATGGTTCAGCCACTATGGAAAACAGTATAGAGGTTCCTCAAAAAATTAGAAATGAATTACCACATGATCCACGATTCCACTTCCGGGCATATATACCCAAGAGAACCGAAAGCAGGGTCTTGAAAGGATGTCTGTACACTCACATTCATAGCAGCATTACTCACAAAAACCAAAGGATAAAAACAACACAAGTGTCTATCAATAGCTAAAGGGATAAACAGAATGTGGAATGGAATATTATTCAGCCTTAAAAAGAAAGGAAATCGGCCGGGCATGGTGGCTCATGCCTATAATCCCAGCACTTTGGGAGGCCAAGGCAGGTGGATCACGAGGTCAAGAGATCGAGACCATCCTGGTCAACATGGTGAAACCCCGTCTCTACTAAAAATACAAAAATTAGCTGGGCATGGTGGTGCAGCCTATAGTCCCAGCTACTCTGGAGGCTGAGGCAGGAGAATTGCTTGAACCCAGGAGTCAGAGGTTGTGGTGAGCTGAGACTGCGCCATTGCATTCCAGCCTGGGTAACAAGAGCGAAACTCCATCTAAAAAAAAAAAAAAAGAAAGGAAATCCTGGCACATGCCACAACATGGATGAACCTTGAGGACACTGGGCTAGGTGAAGCAAGCCAGTCACCAAAGAGAGAAATTCTGTATGATTCACTTACACCAGGTACCTACAGTAGTCAAACTCCTAGAGACAGAAAGGAGAAGGGTACTTCCCAGAGCCTGGGGGAGGGAGGAAACAAGAAGTTGTTTAGTGAGTATAGAGTTTCCGTATTGCAAGATGAAAAAGTAATTATAGAGATCTGTTGCACAACAATGTGAATATTGTGCAAATATTAAACACTACTGAACTGTACACTTAAAAATGGTTAAGGTGTTAAATTTAATATTGTTTTTACCACAATAAAAATAAACAATAAAAGATTATTATATGTAATAAAAAATGGAAATACCTTATGTCTATTAACAGGAAATGGATAAATTGTGGTACAGCATATTCATACAACCAAATACTAAACAGCAGTTAAAATGAATTCAAGTTATATGTATAAACATAAATAAATCTCAAAAAACAATATTAAGCAAAAATATTAAGGCAAAGAATGGTACATATTGGAGTATATAGTACATATTGGATTATAACACAGTTAGAACATGATAAATACCAAATTCATGATAGGTGTTACCGATAAGGAGGGAGAGAAGAAGAGAACAGGAGTACCCTAAGGCCTTGCTATTTCAGTAATGTTTTATTTACTAGAAAAAATATCTGGGAGCAAATATAACAAAATGTCCAGATTTTATAAAGCTGGGTGATGGTTATATGCATGGTAGTATTCCTTATATTTTTATATATATATATATATACACACACACACACACACACACATATATATATATATTTTTTAAGACGAGTCTGGCTCTGTTGCCCAGGCTGGAGTGAGGTGGTATGATCTCGGCTCACTGCAACCGCCCCCTCCTGGGTTCAAGTGATTCTCCTGCCTCAGCTTCCCTAGTAGCTGGGACTACAGGCGCCCACCACCATGCCCAGCTAATTTTTCATTTTTAGTAGAGATGGGGTTTCAACATGTTGGCCAGGCTGGTCTTGAATTCCTGACTTCAGGTAATCCACCCATCTCAGCGTCCCAAAATGCCGGGATTATAGGCATGAGACACTGTGCCCACCCAAGATATTTTATAATTAAAAAATTAAGATGGCATAAAAGATGTTCACTGAAAAACTGTGGTATTTACAGCAAATTTCTATATGGTTATCTGTTTCCAAATATCAAATGAAGGAATATATAAATCTCAATTTGAGGAGATGAATGATCACACATACATTTTTCCTCTTACCAATATATAGATACATAGATAGGAGAGATTAGAGATTTTCAAAGAACTACTGCCATGGCAGGAAGATTTACACTAACAACTTTTGAGAAAATTAAAAGTCAGGAATAAAGGTCTTCATGGTCAAGCAGGTGTGTCCGAATGGTTAATTCCCTAAGGTCTCAACCAGCTCTTCCAAAGCGGCATGACTAGCTCTGTCGTATAGAGTACCTAGGCACCTCCTTGCCAATTCTATTAAAACATGATCATAGTTGTAAGAATGACAGCCTGGCTGGGCGTGGTGGCTCACACCTGTAATCCCAGCACTTTGGAAGGCCGAGGCGGGTGGGTCACGAGGTCAGGAGTTCGAGACCAGTCTGACCAACACAGTGAAACCCTGTCTCTACTAAAAACACAAAAAATTAGCCAGGTGTGGTGGTGTGTGCCTGTAATCCCAGCTACTTGGGAGGCCGAGGCAGGAGAATCACTTGAACCAGGGAGGCAGAGGTTGCAGTGAGCTGAGATCATGCCATTGCACTCCAGCCTGGCGACAGAGCAAGACTTCGTCTCAAAAAAAAATAATAAAATAAAAGAATGACAGCCCAAGCATTTCCTAAAGAATGTGTACTTTAGAATTTTTTTCCTGTAATGGGAGTTTTTCAAAAACAAAAGTAAAGGAAGCTACTAGATCTTATTGGCAAATGTATCAGAATAGCCTGAGTGATTCACTATGCCTGAAAACAAACACAAGAAACAGGTGTGCTTCCCTGAATACACAATCAGAATTGAATTTGGGACCAGTATTGTTATGAAACCAGGTTGAGAATAACCTTGTAAATATGACAAAATGGTAAAAAGAAACTGAAATATGAATTTCAGATAAATATCAGAATACTGTTATGGTCTGGCTTTAAGTAACCTGAAATCAGTAAGATTACTCAAATACCACTAGATTGTAGGAGTCTAACAAAACATTTTTTGCTAAGACAGGAATTAGTCCACCCCAAAACCCACTTTAGAATGCAGTTCTGCTGCATCTTTCGTTTGTATTAACCTTCATTAGTGTGATGAATTTTCAGGAAACACTGTGGCTGCCCTGACATTTCTTCTGAGTCTAAAGTACATGATAGAAAGCCACAGGATTCGGCACTGTTCCAGACCCTAAGTTAAGTAAGACAGCTAGATATCAGAGTTTATGGCCTATCTGAAATTTTTCCCAAACCAAGAACAATTTGCCTTACTTCTTTTTTATAATGAAAATCTAGTGATAATAAAAAAATATGTGATTACAGCATAATCTTACGTAACACTGTGTAGAGATGAGGGAAAGGGAAGACATACTTGCGCATGGATGCACAGATGTTTTTATATAATAATAAAACTGTCATATACCAAAGCTTAGAAACACATAATTTCAACCTCTAAATTTTATTCTGTGTGCTTTTCATCTTAAAGAAAATCAAGTTTGCTCATGAGAGGTGGGGGCGAGGGGGTGGTCAATGCTCTCTTCAGAGACACTGCCCTTCACGAAGAATATTCAAGACAAGGAAGCTGAGTTCTAAAATCCAGAATCCAGCAATGCCAGTGACACAGAAGTGAGTCAACCACTAGGTGCATCAGGTTAAAATAAAAGCACCTTTAGTTTTCAGAATTTGGTTCCAGAAGCTCCACATGGTAGACAAATAATTTATTAGGTTGGTATAAAAGTAATTGCAGGTTTTGTCATTAAAAGTAATGGTAAAAACTGCAATTACTTTTATACCAACCTAATAATTTACTGAAAGGGAAGAAAATATCATATATATGAAGGTAAAGGTAAGGGGTTCTGCATCGGGGACAGGAAAGTACAAAGTGAGCTCAGAACTTCTTCTGACAGAAAGCAAGGAAGCACTCATAGCCCAAGCTTAAAGGTTCCCACAGTTCAAATATGAGACAGTGTGAGCATCAAAAAGAATGTGTTGGTAAAACACAGAAGAAACTAAAATCCATGACATTAAAACAATGAGGGTGAAAAAAAAACCTCATTTACCACCATTAGAGATGATATTATACCATCCCTGTACTCAGAAAAATATTAAAGAAAAAAAATAAAGATTTTACCAAAAAGAAAAAGAAGAATTTACCTCAATATATTTTTTTTTTTTGAGACAGAATTTTTCTCTGTCACCCAGGCTGGAGTGCAGTGGCAGGATCTTGGCTCACCGCAACCTCTGCCTCCTGGGTTCAAGTGATTCTCCTGCCTCAGCCTCCCAAGTAGATAGGATTACAGGTACATGCCACCACACCTGGCTGATTTTTGTATTTTTAGTAGAGACAGGGTTTCAATCATCTTGGCCAGGCTGGTCTTAAACTCCTGACCTCGGGTGGTCCACCCACCTCAGCCTCCCAAGGTGCTAGGATTACAGGTGTGAGCCAGACCTATATTTTTTACCAGAAATTATAATTTAGGCCAGGCATGGTGGCTCACTCCTGTAATCCCAGGACTTTGGGAGGCTGAGGCGGGAGGGCCACTTGAGGTCAAGAGCTCGAAGCCAGCCTGGCCAATATGGTGAAACCCCATTTCTAATAAAAATACAAAAATTAGCCAGGTGTGGTGGCGGGTGCCTATAATCCCAGCTACTTGGGAGGTTGAGGAACAAGAATCGTTTGAATCCATGAGGCAGAGGTTGCATGAGCCAAGATCACTCTATTGCACACCAGCCTGGGAGACAGAGCAAGACTCTGTCTCAAAAAAAAAAAAAAAAAAAAATTGCCGGGCACAGTGGCTCACACTTATAATCCCAGCACTTTTGGAGGCCAACTCAGGTGGATCACAAGGTCAAGAGATCGGGACCAGTCTGACCAACATGGTGAAATCTCATCTTTACTAAAAATACAAAAATTAGCTGGGCGTGGTGACACACACCTGTATTCCCAGCTACTTGGGAGGCTGAGGCAAGAGAATTGCTTGAACCCAGGAGGCGGAGGTTGCAGTGAGCTGAGATTGCACCACTGCATTCCAGTCTGGCAACAGAGCGAGACTCCACCTGAAGAAAAAAAAAAGGGTGGGGCACAGTGGCTCACGCCAGTCATCTCAGCACTTTGGGAGGCGGAGGCAGGCAGATTGCCTGAGGTCAGGAGTTTGAGACCAGTCTGGTCAACATGGTAAAACCCCATATCTACTAAAAATATACACACACAAAATGTATAATTTATTCCTAATTGATGAAATAAATCCTTACAGAAGATTAAAAGCTAATCAGTGTAAAATAAATGACAGGATTAGAAAAATCACTATTTCCAAAAACCAATGAATTAACTAATTTAATCAAAGATCATCATCATCAGGTGAAATGTTGCTGGAGAAGTGCCAGCAACAATGCCAAAGCGGCACCACTCCACAGATAACTTACTGATTACAAAGGGTGGAAAATGTCTTTACAACAAAGGAGTCTGATATTTATCACCTTAAATGATCAAATAAACTCAACATCATAGTAATGGGATATTACGATCCTATGTTTCTCCTATTATGATGGAACGAGGAGCTGAGAAACACAAATAAAGGAGTCTCATTAAAAACATCTAACCATAATCTAATCAGAACTTTAGAGCTCAATATCAGTTTATGAATCTGAGGAAATAACCAGAAAATTCCAGAAGTGATATATTCTGCAAGACAGACAGCTTAGTCTCCTAAAAAATTATTATAATGAGGCTGGGCATGTGGGCTCATGCTTGTAATCCCAGTACTTTGGGAGGTGAAGGTGGGTGGATCACTTGAGGTCAGGAGTTCAAGACTGGCCTGGCCAACATGGTAAAACCCCGTCTCTACTAAAAATGCAAAAAATTAGCCAGGTATGGTGGTGGGAACCTGTAATCCCAGCTCCTTGGGAGCCCAAGGCAGGAGAATTGCTTGAACCTGGGAGGCAGAGGGTGCAGTGAGCAAAGATCGTGCCACTGCACTCCAGCCTAGGCGATGGAGTGAAACTCCATCTCGAAAAAAAAACCGGTATCATGTGGCTTCTAAATTCTTCTAGACTTAAAGAGACTAAAGAGGTATGTTTGGAGGAAAAAAAGAAGTGTCACCTTCAAGACAATTAGAAAATTCCTGTTAATTGCCTTAACTGTGACAAGTACCATAAGCTTTAAAGAGATAAATATAAAGTATTTAAGGGTAAAGTGTCATGATGTTTGCAATACAAAAATTTATATATTTAAATATATATGCACATACATAACCTAAATGTAGCAAAATGTGAACAACTGTTGAATCTAAGTAATGAATATAAAGATGATAACTGTAATATTCTTTCCATTTTTCTGTATGTTTAAACTTTTTCACTTAAACCATTATAAAAAAAAAAAAGGTTCCAAATGCACTTCCTCCAGGAAGGCCTCCCAAATGAACTCTCCTCCAACCCTTAATCATGTCTTCACAAGGTCCTCTCAGCATGGAAAATAGTGCATTACTGTACCAGTTCTGTTTTCTAATTGTTCTCTTTTTATTTCATATATTCAGTAGGTGTGGCTTTACAAGATTACGTCTTTGATTTTGGTATCAGGGTAAGGCTGGCCTCATAGAATGAGTTTAAGAAATACTCCCTTCCCTTCAACTTTTTGGAACCGTTTGAGGACAATTGGTATCAGTTCTTCTTTAAATGTTTGGTAGAATTCAGCGATGAAGCTGTCAGGCCCTGGGCCTTTTCGTTGATGGTAGACTATTATTGCTTCACTCTCATTTCTCACTATTATTGATCTGTTCAAGTTTTCTATTTCTTTATGGTTCAATCTTGGTAGGCTACATGTGTCCAGAAAGTTATCCATTTCTTCTAGGTTTTCCAACAAGACTGTAAGCTCTCTTCAGGCACAGTTATATTTAATTCTTTTCTATTTCTTCGAAGCTCATAGTGAAGTATTCTGCAATCAGCAGACTTAAAAAATGCTAGTACCAGTATTCTGTGCCAAGACAGCAGACACTCACTAAAGCACCTTAACTAACTGGGTTAGCTTTTCAATTTCTCAGCAGAATAGCAGTTTACTTGGATAAACAATTTAAAGTCACAGCGATTAAAAGGAGATCATAAATCACTTACAGGCTTACAGAATATCTAACAGACAAACTAGCATGTAAGAATTAAAGGAAGAAACTAGAATATAGGTTTTGTATGTCTTCCTAGCATTGTCATGGATTTGCTATTATCCAGACACATGACTTTATTCTCATGACATTATTTTTCAAACAAAATCCTCCATGACCCCTCCCCCATCTGCAAAACAGTGATGATATTTACACACAACTCTTCAGTGTAATGAAGCTTAACTGACTACATAATGAACTTTAAAATATTAGATAAGAGACTGCACAAATGATCAAAAATTTTGATAATGGTGTTGGTAAGAACATAGGCAGACTCACACTGCTGTCAGGAATATAAATTCATACAACCTCTGTGGAAAGCATTTAGTAATACAAAACCACATTACAAATGCACATCCATTGATCCAGCGCTTCCACTAGGAATTTAATCCAACAGACACCATGTACACATAGTAAGTATATACAAGGAATTAACTGTACCACTGGAAATGACCTAAGTGTCCAGTAAGTGTTGGCTGAATGATGGTACATCTATACAATGGAATCATCTGCCATCTTTCAAAAAGGAAGAGGAACTGTATTTACTACATGGAATGATCACCAAGATAAATAAAGTGAGAAAAGCAAAGTGCAGAATGAGCATAGTGTCTTACCATTTGCATAAAATAAAATTTAAAAATGTGAAGAATATATAGGTATATAGGCTTGTAAAATGATATACTATCTCTGGATGAATAAACAAGATTGTTGCCTTTGGGAAGGGGAACTCATGGATAAAAGGAAGACAGTAAGAAAAGAGAGTTCACTCTCTGTGTAACTTTCAAATTTTGTTTCATATGTATATACATGTTATTCATTTTAAAGAGTGATTTAAAAAAAAAAAAAAAAAAGGCTCTGCACCAGTAAGAATTATTTAACAATATTCACCTTAATCTAAAAGCACTGAATGCCATCAACATTTAAAATGAGGTTTCAGTGAATTCAACTAGACGAAATGTTTCTAGAAAAAAATCAGGCCCAGAGCGGTGGCTCATGCCTGTAATCCCACCACTTTGGGAGGCTGAGGCAGGGGAATCACTTGAGGTCAGGAGTTGAAGACCAGCTTGGCCAACATGGCTAAACCCCATCTCTACCAAAAATACAAAAATTAGCTGAATGTGGTGGCACTCAACTGTAATCCCAGCTACTCAGGAGGCTGAGGCAGGAGAATCGCTTGAACCTGGGAGGTGAAGGTTGCAGCGAGCCAAGATCGCACCACTGCACTCCAGCCTGGGTGACAGAGCAAGATTCCGTCTAAGAAAGAAAGAAAGAGAGAGAGAGAGAGAGAAATCAAAGCATCCTAATGGTTGAAATCTATTACTACAATAGTCTCACTTCTAGCTATTACTAGAACCTATTCTAAATATGGACACAGGGAACATTAAACATCTACAAGTACCAAACTAGCTACTATTAAGAGTTCTAAAAGGAGAAGTCAATGAAGTACCAAATGGATACCAAATGCCCCAACCCTATGAGTGGGGTAGTCTTACAGTAACTTCTATTCCTCAGTCTTCACACAAAAGAGATGACTCTCCAGCTCTTTTGGGAAGATATATGCACCCCAAATTCCTCTGCTTCCTGTGTGTCATCTCTTGGTTCTAACTGTAACCATGGCAACAGGAAACGGCACAAAAGACAACTGAACCCTGTAAGGGCCAGGGTTAAAAGGGAAGTGAAAAATACATATATTTTAAGGCCCAAGAACATGCAGTTTTGGAGTTAACAGTGGCAGCCGAAAAAGCCTTAACAGAAGAACATCAAAGAATACAAATTAAAGAGACTAGTAAGTAAAGCTTACTAATAGGTCCCTTCCCAGTAATCCAGCTAGGAGACAGGATTGACAAGAACTGAAAAACACAAAAAATTTCCCCCCCTCCCACTCCCTTCCCCACAACCATTTAGCTACTCATTTCAGTGCTATCCAGAAAACCTTTCGCTATTGAGTTTATGTTTTCTTCACTCTGTTTTGATAGCAGAGGTAAGGAGCAGCAAAGTATCCAAAAGAGTGGCAGCATAGGAGCAAATCAAAGAGCCACATATAACCGTCAACTGAAAACCCACATCCTAGATCACTGAAATATTATTGTACTTTGAAGTTCGTTATTCACATTTCTTTTTATCTGCCAATGTGAAAGAAACACATTACTTAAAACCTCCACTGAATAAGTTAGTGTCCACCAACAGTCTCAGATTGCCTTTGTTTCCATGTCACAGAGCACCAATAAGGTACAGATAAAATGAAAAGTGCTAAGGAATATCTTTGACCAAAAAGAGGCAAATAGGTCACACAAAGTAAGAGGGCCGGTGGGTGAGAATCCTGATGTCTTTATTTACAGTTACGATTCTAAACTTTACACTTTTGTACCTTTATCTCTATCTTATCTAGTTCTGCGAAGTAAGAATTTTACTAAAATGAAATGCCTCACTTGGTTTCTTTTATGACCTTTAGTCTTCTTTAGCAAGGCTTCCAAAATCCCCTGCCAGAATAAGTGATAGGATGGAGCACCTACTCCTAAATTTAGGGTAAGTTGGTACTAAAAGGTACAAGCACGACGATGAGCGCACAGGAATGGAAAAGTAATTCTAGAACTAGAAGATGAAGTGACAGTTTCAAAAGAAGGGTCAGCGTGGGACACGCTGGCTCTGGGAGGCGTTTGTAGCCTGGGAGTCTCTAAGGCAACACCAGATGAGAATAGTGCTTTGTCCATAAGTCTTTCACATTATTTAAATTCCTCCTTTTGGACAGGAGCAACAGGCTCATTATCCGGCAGCAAGTCTAGCCCACAGTGTGGGAAGAAGGCAGACTCGTGGTCCACCGGCTCTTTATCCCGCAGGTCCCCGCAACACCGCGATGCGCATGCGCCCCGGGGGCAGCGAAGAAGCACCTCGAGCTCGTTCACACTCGCACATGCGCAGTCACCCATCTCGCCACAGGCGACAGCTCACTATTTGGCAAGGGGGATGGGGCTGGGAAATGATGGGGGGGAGCTGAAGGCAGGGGGCGCGTTTGTGTCTCCTGAATGCTTGAGATAGGGAGAAGGGACGGCTGATTCGGCTCTGGCTTTCGCAGGCCACGTAATCAGGATGTTGGAAATGGGACTGAAGAGAGTATGTGTGTGTGGCGGGGGGTGGGGGGGCGGTGGGGGTCAGTCACCTCTTCGGGGAGGCGGCCCCCCACCCCGACAGAACAACCGCCTCCCTCGACTCTCCTCCCCCCACTCACCTGAGAGCGGCGGCGACAGCTGCTGGTCCCCGTCCCCCTGCGCTCGCCTCATACTGTCCGCAACATCCGGGACCTGCGGGACCGCCGATACACAAATACACACACACACTCGGAGCGCGCACACTCACACACACACACATACATCGACACACACCGGCCGGGGCGTCATGGCGTCAGCACGTCGACGCAGCCAGCGCGTACTGCTGGGCCCCACCCCGCACGGCCTCCTCCCCTTTACTCCTTACCCCTCCCCTCCCCTCCCCTTCCTGGGTTTTCCTGCTCCTCCTCCCTGGTCCTCAAGACTCCGCCTACCTTCACTAGCGCGCATGCGTCTCGGGGCCAAGCCAGGGCCCAAGGATTTGAGAGGAAGGAGGGGGTCTCAGTAAAAAGAGGCGGGAACTCGGAGGGGGTCGCGTGCAGGGCGCAGGAGACCGCGCCGAGGTGCGAGGACCAAAGAGAGGTATAGCAAGCCAAGGGTGGGAGTGGGCAGAGTAACAAAGGCATTTCACAACAGCGACTTAGGTCAGCAAGTAATTTGTGGAGTACCAACGACTCTTATATGCTATTAACTCATTTTTTAAAAGCCAGCCCTGTCAGTAAAATATTTTTTGAACTTTATGATGATGCTAGAGACTCTTTTAAGTAACTTTTAAAACTTAGCACTTGGAAACAAAAACAAGGACTATCCTTTCAGGGGAAGGCAGGAAATATAGGTGACCTAACTAAAAGGAAGCTAATTCCGTGACAATTTGTTGTCTTGGACACCTGAGTCCCCGTCAGCTTCACATCTTAGCTCCCACAGGCCATAAGTGATTGCTCAGCTGAGTGAAAGGAAAGATCTCAGATCATGTTGGCCCTGGGAGAAAAAAAAGTTGTCTCAGTGTTACAGTAATAATGTTAGTGTTGGGTGTCAGTTGTTACGATTCTTTCCTTTAGGTCAAACTTTTAAAATATTATTCTTGAGCTGGGCACAGTGGCTCATGCCTGTAACCTCAACACTTTGGGAGACTGAGGTGGGAGGATCACTTGAGCCCAGGAGTGGAGACCAGCCTGGGCAACAAAGCAAGACTCCATACTCTGTTCTACAAAAAAATTAGCCGAGGTGTTGGTGAGTGCCTGTTGGCTCCAGCTACTCAAGAGGCTGAGGCAGGAAGTTCCCTTGAGCTCAGGACTTTGAGGTTACAATGAGCTGATTGTGCCACTGCACTCCAAAGTGGGCGACAGAGTGATACTTTCTCTTAAGAAAAGTTTTTATTACGTCGTGTCTGTAATCCCAGTACTTTGGGAAGCTAGGGTAGGAGGATCACATCACTTGAGCCCAGGAGTTCAAGACTGCAGTAAGCCATGACCATGCCACTGTGCTCCAGCCAGAACAACAAAGTGACATCCTGTCTTTAAACAAAATTGTTTTGTTTTTGTTTTGAGACAGTTTCGCTCTCATTGCCAAGGCTGGAGTGCAATGGCACGATCTTGACTCACCAAAACCTCTGCCTCCTGGGTTCAAACGATTCTCCTGCCTCATCCTCCCCAGTAGCTGAGATTACAGGCATGGACCACCATGCCCAACTAATTTTGTAGTTTTAGTAGAGACAGGGTTTCTCCATGTTGGTCACGTTGGTCTTGAACTCCCAACCTCAGGTGATCCACCCGCCTCAGCCTTCCAAAGTGCTGGGATTACAAGCGTGAGCCACGATGCCTGGCCTAATAAAATGTTTTTTAATATTCTTACTGAATGAGGCCAAATAATCCAGAGCAGTCATTGTCTCTCTTGCATGCTGGAATTGTGTCATTACACACACACACACACACACACGCACACACACACACAGAGCATTGGACACAAGAGACCAACTCAAGGAACCTGTGGGTTGGGAGGTGACACAGTGTGGGCCCTGCCTTGGGAACAGCTTCTGAGAGCCCTGCTGTCCCCCAGGCCTATGTGACTGTTTCCAGGAGACAGTGAGCACTGTCTCCTGCCACATGCGTCCTGGTGCCAGGTGGTTGGTGAGTCTGTTCAGCTGAGAAGGCTGGGTGCCCATGAGCAAAACTGCAGGGGTTTGGGGGAAAAAAAAGCCCCCTGACAGTGCCAGGCTGTCTTCCACTTTCAAATACAGAAACAAGCCCTATAATCTCACAGTTTAAAATTTCCTGGGAATCATGGACAAAACATTCCAGACTCCTAGAGTTTACACAACCGATTTTTCAGCCAGAATGATCAAGAAATGTAGATTCTAAATTCTACAATGATGTGCCCCACTGCAAAACAAAAAGAGCTTTTGTCACCTATTAGGCAGAGGCTTGAAATTTCCAATTAGATTTCACTTATCGGCCAGGTGCAGTGGTTACATCTGTAATCCCAGCACTTTAGGAGGCCGAAGCTGGTGAATTATTGAGGTCAGGAGTTTGAGAACCAGCCTGGCCAACATGGTGAAACTCCATCTCTACTAAAAATATAAAAATTAGCCCAGTGTGGTGGCACACACCTGTAATACCAGCTACTTGGGAGGCTGAGATAGGAGAATCCCTTCAACCTAGAGGCAGAGGTTGCAGTGAGCCGAAATCACGCCACTGCATTCCAGCCTGGGCGACAGAGTGAGACTCCATCTCAAAAAAATAAATAAATAAAAAGAGAGATTTCACTTATTGTTATCAACAAACATAATTCCTTTAGCTGAAGCCAGCAAGATTTTTGGTCCTTATGAAAATTCATAATGCCCCAGAAATAACCCAGTGACCAATAACAAGTAACTGGTTCCTGGTGTCACTGAGGCTGTTCAATTACCCATTCTCTTGACTTCAGAGTTCACATGAAAGCAGAGGAAAAAGGGGTACTCTTTGTGGGAAGGAGCATGGAAGTGGGGAACAGGGTGCAGAAAAAGGAAACTGGATGCATGTACAACCTACTTTAGCTCCCTCACATTTGGAGCTAATTGTAACAGCTTCGCCAGACTCTACCCAGGACCTGGAAGGGGACTCTTCAGGGAAAGGGAGTCTGTGCCAACAGCTTGTCCAGGCTGGGCCTGAATCCCCGGTGATCTCGAAGGATATGAGAGGTCTTATCCCCATCTGTAGCCTGGTGCGATGAGGCTCCTATTATACTGTGGGGACCATACCTCCCACCTGAGATGTGATCCTATCAGCCTCTGTACAAAGGACTTTGATTTGGTGTGGAGCTGATTAAACGATTGTAGATGTCCTTGGAAGCACTATGTGGAAGAATTTTAAACAGCTTCTCCTTTTTAATATGCACTTCCTCTTCGGTTTTAATTATTTTGTTCCTACATTTTCCCTTTCAATTTACTAAAATCTAGAAATGTAATTAGAGCAGAGGCTGGGCTCAGAGAAAGCTGCCAGGATTTCTTCAGCATGATTAAATATACCAGGCATCCCTTTAGTGTGGGACTGAAAAATAGGATTCTCATTATTATCTTTCCCTTATCCAGGAAAGAATCGGCACCACATACAGATAGGGATTTATTGAAAATGCAGCACTAATTAAAAACTCACCCAGCCTCTTGACGAGGTTTGAGTAAAGAAAAAACAGTGAAGTTATTTAATTATTTCCTCCATTTAATGTTTTGTTGCTGTAATGACAACAAGCAAGAAGCCCTTCTTGTTCTTCTTTCCTCAAAATAAAATTCTTGTCTCCTCCTGAGGGACTTAATGAGGCTTTTATCTATGCAACAACAGTCAAGCTTGCAATGGCACCAATTCAGTTCACTGCTCCTTGTGACGGTAAGCAACATCCAGAAACATCCAACTCATTTTCTTAATCCGAAACACAAACAACAAAGTGTTCATTGGCTGTCATGAGCCAGGTCTGGGCTCAGGGTCTTCCCCAAAGACGCTGAGATGCCTGGTATTTATTCAGTATGCCAACAAGGACCTTCAGCTCCATTTTACAGTCCAGCAAGCAAAGGCATGGTTTTCCTCGAAGCTCTAGGGGAGGTGGAGGCAGGCAGGGCTGAATAGAAAATGAGTACAGATTCTCATTTGAGTTGTAAGTGCCAAGGGAAGCTGAAGTCCCTCTCTTCTCTCTGGACAGCTCTTCCATTGGGTGGTCAATGATCAACGTCTCATTTGGTCAGTTGGTCCCCAGGCCCAGTGGCTCCTTTAGTGGAGCCCTTCGTGGACATGGGAGATGACTATACGGGAAGGAAGATCTTTAGTAGGGGCAGAATCCTGTGTTCCAGCAATATCCAGCCTAAATGAAAAGAGACAAATGACATACCCCAGGACACAGGTGTAAGAACATGCACAAAGAAACAAGAAGAATGCATTGATGACATTGCTCTGGGGCCACTATGGAATTCACAAACATTAGCAGTGGAGACATTTTGATTGATTCATGAAATTGCATAGTGAGGCAGCTGTGGCTTAATGAATGTGCTCCAGCCCCCTTGTCTGGAGACTCAAGTTCAAATCCAGTGCTGACACTTACTACAATATCAACTTAGACAAACCTCTCTAAGGCTCAGTTTTTCCATTGCAACAATAAGCAAAATAATGCCCACCTTATCATACCATGTGAGAATGAACTAAAATAGTATTTTGTTGTTGTTGTTTTGAGACTGAGTCTCGCTCTGTTGCTCAGGCTGGAGTGCAGTGGTGCAATCTCAGCTCACTGTCACCTTCGCCTCCCGGGTTCCAGCTATTCTCCTGCCTCAACCTCCTGAGTAATTGGGACTACAGGCACCTGCCACCACGCCCAGCTAATTTTTTTTTTTTTTAGTAGAGATGGGGTTTTAACATGTTGGTCAGGCTGGTCTTGAACTCCTGACCTCAGGTGATCCGCCAACCTTGGCCTCCCAAAGTGCCGGGATTACAGGCATGCACTGCCGCACCTGGCTGAAATAGTATTTGAACACAGCACGGTCTCTGGCATAAGTTGAGTAGAATCAACTTATTTATTAATGTGTCACTGAATGGATGTTTTGGAGTAAGTATTCACATATCTCCTAGTCTTCAAGTCCCACTCTCATCTGTGCACTGTGCCATTTCTTGCCTCTGTGCCTTTCTTCAGAATTCTTTGAAGAATGTGGAATCAACAAAACAGCACAGACTTCTCAGTTGGAACACTGTTACTTGCTAACTGTGGCCTCTGCACAAGCTCTTTGGCCTCAGAACCTGTTTCCTCAAACATCAGCCAGGGTTCCCAGCTGCAAGAACTCCACCACCTCTGGCTACATCAACCAGAACTGGAATTGACTGAAGAAATATTGCTGGCTCCGAGAATTAATAAGACCTAAAGAGTCCAACTTGGAAATTCAGCTGAAAACCAGTGG